TATTTTATATAAAAATCACTTCAAAATCACAATGTGATCGACAGACGGTCATATTGTAATTTTGAAGTGATCTTTGAATATCAAAAATAATAATTTTATATAATTTTTTTGTATCTAACATACTAATAAAATTATTTTGTAATTTGATACTCTGAAGCCATTTTCTTAAAAAAAGAAATTCTCCGTGTAATTCTCCAGAAAATTGTATGGACATATTTGTATATATAGATAAAATTGCATAATTAGATATAATAATTTTACTTTGTGTATAAGTAATATACCTCGATAGTCAAATGATAGCAATATGCCAGCAGTATGCACGCAGGTTTAATCAGCATTTTGCAGCAGATTCCACTTAGCTGTGTCATTATAGTGAGTAAATTATGTAGGATACTTATATATAATTATATATATCAAAACTTCAACGTAACAAATCACTATGATGACACAGCTGAGTAGAATCTGCTGCAAAGTACTGATTACATCTGCGTGCATACTGCTGGCGTACTGATAGCATTTGACTATCGGGATATATATCAAAACTTTTTTACCAGGCATTGAAATAAAAAGCGAGTACTAATCGAATAGAGTTAATGAAAGAGTTTGAAATTTGATGACTGTACAACACTTGATACACTACTGCGTTTAGTGAAACAAAAACCAAAACTTAAAAACTATCATTATAGTCACATGTTGGATCTTGTCGATAGTGTGTAAAAGATCAAAATAGAATTTCTATGATGAGAATGATTTTGCAAGAGAGAAACAAGAATATAATACAAACATACAGATTATGTAGAAAACGATTGAAGCGGTTCCACAGTTAGTAGACACATCTAGTTTCATGGATGAGCGGGCATGATCTATGGTATACACGTACCATGTACTATAGATAAATGTACGCATATGCATGAAATAGAAAGCATCCATTATCTATTTCAATAAGATAAATCAGATACGCACAATAATCCCACACGCACTTGTATATGTTTGCTTAGTGTACTATATTTTAAACAAAATATTGATACTTTTTGCGTTACATCAACAATTTCAACATTAACTAAATTGCTAAGTAAAGAGAAAGATAAATTTTTGTGTAGAAAACTCATAACTTTTTTAGATTTCTAGAATCCATTTTATTAACACATATAGGTTGTCGGGAAAGAATGTAAATACTTACACTATTTTCCACGTTTTTTGTATTATCTTTGCAACATATAATACAAACTGCAAAATAATACAAAAAAAATAAAATTGATATATTTATCTTGAAAAACATCAATAACCATAAAACTCTTATTTTTAAATAAGTTTTTACATTATTTAAAGAAGAACTATTATAAGAAATAAACATATAAAAAACTTATTTTCAGGGTCGTGGATTGCAGCTTTTTTCTACCTGCAAAAGTCGTAACTATTTGGAGATCTCTTATGGAAAGAAAAAATCATTCTTACACACATATTAAATTTACCTAATATTACAAGAATAAAATATATCCAAGTTGCAGCAGTCTTCAATTTTAACCGACAATTTTACACCGAAAACGAGATGCAATCTAAAATATTAAGTGAAACATGTCAAATAGTAATTCGAAAATTCTTAGGAATTGTTTGTTTTTTATTGCTTGCTCCGTTTCTTATCACGATTTTGATGGTTTTATATATTTACCGTTGTTGGGTGGAAACTGTGCTAAGAATTCAACTTAAAGACAAATTTGCCGGTATGTTGGAAGGGTCGGATGCTGTTTGGTGTGTCGAAAATACATCTTTATCCTTGATTACTGTCGTATTCATAATGAAGAAAACCGCAGGGAGTACAAATATGATCTTCTTGAAAGATATGAGAAACTTATTTAATCACTTATTTAAGACTGCTTCCAAGAGTTTCGAGAAACTGTTTTACTATAGATATCAAAAGTTTGGTTACGTTTATTGGGAAAAATCAAAAGAATTTAATCCAGAAACCGCGATTAGATGGTTGGAGTGTGAAATCAGTAATTGCGATGGATCTTGCGAGAATGTTCACAGTACAACCTTTCAAGAAAATCTAAGTTTTATAAACAACAGACCGTTGTATGATGATCACAAACCGATGTGGGAAATGCTCATTGGCAGACGATGTCCAAACGTCAAATCTTCCATTGAAGAGGATCCGAGGTTGTCTTCTCAAGACAGCTTTAATACCGATGTAGACGAAGTTCCTGTAGTATTTCGTGTTCATCATTCTCTTGGTGATGGTAAAGCTTTATTCAAGTTGCTTAATGTGATTGTCGACGAGAATATCACAAATGAAGTGTCGACAATATTGGAAGAACCCAAGGACAGCGTTTTGACAGCTAAAGAAAACTATTTTAAGGAGAAAGAAACTTTTCCAAAAAGAAAAATTATTTTACCCTTAAAAAAAGTATATAACACAATTAAAGAAATTATGAGAAAAGTAATACTTATATTGTTTTCTCTAGAAATCTTTGTCTCTCAAATTGTTCGTAGTATGGATGGCAAAAGGTTAGTATTTAAATATCCTAAAACACTTAAATAAAATAATATATTTTTAAATAGAATTATATAAAGGTTTTCAATATGCAAAATATGTAATGTTTAAATACCAAATTTTACATATGCAAATACTAACTTCATAAAGATGATATTCATCAAATCGTCTATTGTGATATTTAGATAAAATATTTTAAGTTTTATAACATAACGAGTAAATCTTGTAGCTCTCTGCATGGTCGATCTTTATCAGGTGAGAAATTTATAGTTTATTGTTTGGAAAACGATACCAATAAATCGCAGCTTCTGACAAAAATTAAAAAAATAAGACAGTGTACAGGATCAAAAGTTACTGACATAATATTAACAGCTTTTGCTGCTGGGATAATTAAATATTATTTACGCGTAAGTATAATACTACTTGAGCTAAATGACGCCAAAATGAATTTTTTCTATGTAAAAGATTTCTTTAAATGTGCAAATATACAAAGTGTATATCTTTGTTGCAGATGAAGGAATTAATACCCAACGCAATATCGGTCCTCATACTAAGAAGAATCTCTAAGCCTAATGACAACTTAGTACTGACCAATGATATTTCGTTTAACATAGTTAAAAGTTGTCTTGTCAACGCGAATAAAGATGATGTTTTAACGTCACCTACAAACTTTCGGTTCTTTGAACGTCTTCAAAAAACTACAATAATAAATAACAAAATTAGAAGTAGCTTGGAAGCACCGTTAAATTATTTTTTAAAAGATTTAGTTGGAATTTTGCCTCTGGAAATTATAAAATTTCTTATTGCAACTCACAATCCCACAATGGCATTTAGCAATATAAAAGGAATAAAAAGAAAACTTTCTATTCAGAATCATCCTTTAAACAACATAATGGTTTGGATACCGAACAAGTATAGTATATCAGTATTATTTTTTATCGTAACTTACGTGTAAAAAAAATTAGAAATATTCCAGAGATATTAAAATCATTTTTATATATAATATATAAGATATATGTACATGTATATATATATATATTCATATATTACAATTTATATTTTTAGAAATACAACCGGGTTGTCCTTANGTCTAATTACTTACGAAGGCAAATTAAATCTGTCTCTATTNGTTGATAAAGCAGTAATAAGAGATATGAAATTAATCAAAGAAATAATAGACGAGACTATATGTGAAATAGACTCTGCGTATAATGATCTCGCATAACTTTCGGAATCATCGGATCGTTCAGTAAAAACACTTGTGGAAAAAAATAGGTAAATAAAAATCTCGATTAAATTTTGATAATCTTTTACTTTCCTGTAGTGCACAAAACAATCAGTTTTATTTTTATTAGTACATATTTAAGTGTAAGACTAAAAAACATTTTTGTATATTGTAGGAATGTTCTAAAAAGTAAAAACAATTTTAGTTGTGGGTTTACTCTATATCTTTTATGCATGTAGTGTGTATAAATATATATTTATATAGCAATATATGTGTTTATGTATTTTTGAAAATAATTTTACTAATATTAATAGTGATTTGTTTTAATGAAAAACAAAGACCTTTATATATTAACGTCGACTAATCTATCTTTTGTAATATTTGTAACGTGATACTTATAAATGTAAAAGGAAATAGTAAATTTGTTTCCCACATAGCTACGATGATTATATTTTTTTAAGAAAGTAAAAGACAACTTAGTAGTCGTTTCACAATGAAAAAGAGCTGGTTTATTTGTTAGACTAAAATTAAAAAGCTTTATAATATTTATTATAAAATATAAGTATATGTATGTAATATGTATGATTTTAAACAATATATTACTAAAACAATATATAATATTTATATAAATAGTATTACTTAAAAAAATATTATATTGTCATAAAAATATTATTTTTTAAAAAAATGTACTCTTGATACTTTTCACAAAAATTAACTTGGTTTACTAAATCAGGTTTGTGTTAAAAAGTCATTAAAATATATACAGTTTATGTCAAAGTTGTATTTAATATAAAAATATTATGCTTCTAATAGAGTTTTTTACGTGAATATTTTTACTGATACATATATACTAATAAAACTCCTTTTTTCAGTTAGATTCAGGAGCGTTAGATCTAGGAAGACAGAAGCAAAATTTAATGTCTTTTAAAATGGTTTTAAAAATTACGTGTTTATCTGTAAAACATGAAATAATTTTAACCCTTTTATGTTGGCAGGTTTTATTTTATAAAATAAAAGACAAAATGACTATTTTAGAAACAAAATACATTTACAGGACAGAACAACTAAATAAAGGACTATCCTCTTAAATATAGGAAGTATGTTCGTCGTACACATAGCACGTAATATTACGCAAATATCGCAGTAAAATTGCAATATCCCAGTAATATTAAATATTATAATACAATATTACAATACTAGTATCAAGATATTAAATTTATATATAATATTGAAATATTACGGTAATATTGTATTGCATCTTAAGTAGCAAAATTATATATCAAATATGTTTTCATATATTATGTCTTATAAACGCAAGATGTCATTTAACGTTATTTACTATTTAACACGTTGCACACATCGCGTTGTATCTTATATATAATATGATACATATCCTTTGCTACGTTGTTGAAAAAACTATACAATTTTTGTCTTAAACATGAACGCTTTGTTTTCAAATATATTATATCAACAGAAAACACTTTGTGTGTGTAACGTGTTTTTACTATATAATTATTATTTACTATGTAATTACTATATAATTATTATTATATTAAATAATTCTTATTATATAATAAAAGTAATACACACATATAAATGTGTATACATATTTTTATATATCATTTAGAAAAGAATAAAAATGTAAAGAATAGATATAAAGAACATAAGTTTCTAAAACAAGATTCTATATCGATTCCTTAAAAGAAATTAGATATAGAAATATACAAGTAGATGTAGAAAATATAGATGAATATATATATATATATAAATATATATATATATATATATATATATTTATTGAATAAATGAAATATTTAAAAAAATATAAAAAAAAAAAAAAAGTGCATATATAGAAGAAATATTACAATATTGTTTTAAATTACAATATACACTCTTACGAAAAAGAACTAATGATGAAGATGATGATTACATATAAATAAATTCAGTAATATAAATATTACTGACAATCACATAAGAATATTATTAGATATTACAGAAATCACTGAGAATATTACTGTCAACAGAATATTACTGTACACAGAATGCCAGTAATTTTTTCGTACCATTGTTGCAATATGTTACTGTCAGTAGTTGTTTTTGTAAAGGCAAATATATGGAAATTTCATCAAAAAAGAATCGTCATTCCCTACATATAATTACATAAGTGTCACATATCGAATTTTCAGTTTATTGCATAGTGACACTTAGGAAGTTATGTTCTTTATGGTTACCAAATATTAAAAAAAATATTTATAAATAAGGTAAAAATGTAAACCCGAAAACTTTCTTAACTAGGGAAACTATATGAACCTTTAAATTTACAAACTGCTCTCTTCTAAAATTTGCGTTTTGGAGTTACGAGATTATATGTAGAGAGCGACGATTTAATAACAAATCAGTGCAATTCCTACTCATGCAGAATAATGTAATCTTCTCAATAGTTTTATTGTAGAGATATAGAAGATAATAAATAATTGAATTCTAAATCATTATTTTTCCGGGGAACAATTCTTTATACGTGCTCAAATTCTATATCTAGGCATAAGAATTTTGCATGAGATTGAAAAGATTTCATATATTGTATTTAATTAAACATCATCACAGATATAGAATATGTCCATATAGAATTTTTTTTCTAGACTATTATAAAAAAAACTGTTTTAGTATATTTTAAGTTACTATATTTAAAATTTTTAAGGTATGTAAGAACCGTAATTTGTGTAAGTTGTAATAACAATGTACAGATAATTAATATAAAAAGCAATTTTTTTAAAAGTGAATTGCTTATTATGAGAAGAATAAATGAGAAGAATAAATTATTAAAAAAGTACAAAACATACCGTTGCGCGTAGTCCCTCGCCGTCCATCGATGTATCTTCAACTCCAGTCCCACGTAGCAATCAGGAACCTACCTTTACTGTCCCATAATGCGACGAATGCGCGCTTACGACGAGATGACCGTAGTATCACGACGAGGGACTACGTTTAAACTTACCAGTGGCCCCGTTGCTGTAATATGAAGCGAAAACCGCGAAATCGCGAATGACTCTACTTTTACTTTTAAAAAAATTACGACATAAGAATTAAGGCAAAATCTCCGAAAAACGCGGAAAATACCGTTATTTTAAAAGATAGCATATATGATAATAAATTTTACAACATAAAAAATATATGATAATACATTTTAAAAGATAGAATATACGATAATTTAAAAAAATAGAATATATGATAATAAAATGTAAGTAAAAATTATAAATGAACAGAATAAACTTTCATCGCGACTCTATGCTTTATGTTTAAATATAAAAACTTGTTTAATCAAGGTAAATGTGTAGGGTAAATCGGAAAGAAAGAAGAATAACTTGAGGGAATCTTAATTTTAAATATCCTCTTTTTTCTTTTTTTTTCTTTTTTTTTAGTATAAGAAGAATAAAGGATAGGTAGTATAAACGAAAATTTTTTTAATAAAAAAGAAATACCATGTGATCAAAACCTAAGTGATTAAAAAGCACGAAAGTTTTATAGATTTTAAAATAGTCTGAAAGAATACGTCGCGCAAATTTTGTATAAAACTCACTATTGAAAATCAAAGGTTTAGATATTGATTGTTTTTTGGTAGTACGGAACGCGAAATTGCAAAAATCACAGTTTTGATATTAATTTTTTTTTTGTTAATACGGAACAAAATTGCGGTTTGAATTATACTGACATTTGCGTACTTTTTACGCAAAACAAATTGCTCCGCAGATTCTCTGCAAATATAATCTCGCAACTTTTGCGAGAGTCACTCCTCTTAGCACAGCGAAGTATACTTGCTCCGTTACTTCAGCGAAGCATCAACTCGCAACTTTCTTTCGAAAATCGTTTATCGAAAACGGAACAGATCGAAAAAGAAACGTCAAAAACATAGTAAAACATTCGACACATCAACATATTTGAAATTTAAATTAAATTGAAATAAAACGCGTAATCAAAATTCCTACGTAAAACTTTTCGTACGCGCACTTTAATTTCTTTTGCAAGATAGATTCTATTAATAATACTTAATAATCGTGTGTATTTCAATAATTCAAACTAAAAATCGCGGCAATAGTAACGCTAAGTCGTTAAAATTAAATAAACATCTGTTAATTTCATTTTTTCCCGATATACTTTTTGATATAGTATGTCTCTAAAATTTCTAACTTTATCGTAAAATTCTCGCGAAAAATGTATTCTCTAAAATTTACTCAATAGTAATGAAGAACAAAATTTCAGTAAAATTGCAGTAGTTTTAAAGTCAAAAATTCGCGAAATCTAAAATAGATTTTATACACTATTTGCATGCACGACCGCGATCGCGTGATTTCTTCGCAGTTGCGAGGTCCAGGACGTCGATTTCGACGCAAGGCGAACTAAACGTTCGCAATTTGTTGAATGTGAGAAATCATCGAGAAAAAACTGGTATAAAATAATCATTATATGAAGCAATCTCACTGGTTTTGAAAAGAGTAATCAGTATATCGTTTAGCAATGTACATATCTTAATATACGTTTTTGATAATTGTATAGAAAATTATTCTATATTATTCTCTGTTATGCTTTATTTTCTATAAGTAAATTAGATTTAAATATAGTAAATATAGTAAATTAGTATAGTAAATATAGTAAATATAGTAAATTAAATTTAAATATATAAGAGAGTAAAACGCGAGAACTATAATTTTATTTTTCAAATATTTGTTTTATCTCGACGTTTCACAATAAATAAGCACTAACTACGTATCGCACTGATTTGAAAAAATACCCATCACCTACCTTGAAGGTCAACTCACGTGCGCTGGCCACTTACTGCGACGATACCACTCTGTAACATAATAGAATTCTATCGTCAGACTCAGAATTTGTGAAAACAAATTAGATATATTATACTTTAATAACTTTTACATGTAGTATATATAATATTAAAAACAAAAATATACCTTCATGCCAGCATTTTCTTACCCGAACCCGGCTCCTCCGCTACCGCAAACACCGCCGTCAGGAATACAATCAGCGTCAAAAGTCCACAGGAATATTGTCCGGATTGTGTCTTTTTTGGCACTTGATTATTTTCCCATGCGTAAGTGAAGTTCTTTCGTATTTTTTATAAAAGTTATTTTTGATAATATTAGATATGACTTCGCGATGAAAAATGTCACGTACATCAAACTATACCCTGCTGTTTCGAGATTTGTTTTTTTATAAAATAAAGTATTTTAAGTATATAAAGCAATGTATTACGATTACATATAACTCACATTTCTTTGTTATATGTGTCTTATAGCATGATATGTGGAAATGTAGTTTTTATTTGAATTTTACAGAGAATCTTACAACAATTAAACTCTTCAAAATCGAGTCAATAAGAAGTACTGAATATAAGACAATACTCTATTACGTTTGATCACCTCCGAATTCTTCTCAATGATAGTTAAGATGACAATGGTACCGTTTGCACTCGAACTGTCAAAGAGAAGAATTCGGAAATGGATAAAAAGTTGTAGATTTACCGCGGCTCTCTTAATAGAGAGTATTAACAAAACTATTGTAAAATATTCAAACCGTGTTATAAAATTCTTCCGATAAGATTGAAGTAAAAAGCATATATTCCAATATATGTTACATACAATATGTAAAAAAGAAATGATTATCGTTAGAGGTGAACCGATATATCGCTTTATGTATTAAAACAATTATTTTAAAAAATAAAGACAAAGCGGAAGACTGATAAGTTATATTCGCGACATATTTAATCGCGATACACGCGGTAGATTTACAATAACGAATTTACAGTAATTGACGAAGAAAGAAATTCACTTTTAAACATAAAATCGCGTACAAACTTGATACAACGAAAAAAGAAAATCTTCGAATCGCGCACAACCTGACAACACGTCCGTCATTTTCAAGAGATCCACGAGAATCTGAAGCTACGCGCTGAGGTAAGAGTAGAGTTTTTCTTTGCGTGCACACATTCTCCACTATGCGCTTTAGAAAATTCCTTCGCAGGGGTTGAGCGGTTTTCCGATCGTCAAAAACACTCGCCGGTTGCTAAAACATTTCAGTCGTTGAACATAACACGCTTATTTTTCACATTATTTTTTATTAAAATTTGACATTTTTTCCATTCTTAGTTCTCTTTCTTTTTCTACATTATTGGGAAT